ACACACACACACACACACACACACACACACACACACACACACACACACACACACACACACACACACACACACACACACACACAGCTATATATAATGTTATATATAACATTCATTTTTAAGAATATATATATCAGGTAAATTTTTAAAAAGTCACATTTTGGCTTAATAAATGTGTAATTAAGTAAAATAGTCTCGACTATCCATTTATCTTAAATTACGTCAACTAAAGAGCTAAGAATTAGTTTCTTACATATGTTCAGTTTTTAGATAGCTGTTTATTGTTTTGTACTAATGCAATAGATAAAATATACTTTTACGATATAATTAAAGATTTCAAACGTTTTAAAATAAATAACTAAATAATACTCTGTATTACCTAATACCACAATTACCACTAAAGATATAAGTAAAACCGATTCTTATTATTTTTTACATACATAAAATAAACGCTTTTATGATATAATTAAAAATTTCCAACTTTTGAAAATGGGTAACTATTTATATTACCAAATACCAATTAACATTAAGATATGACTCAAACTGATTCTTATTTTTTTTTACAAACATTTGAACTATCTTTATTTTAATAAAGTTGATAATATCGTATTATTATAATTAGTTATCTATGAATTTATGTTATATCTTGGAATACTAGCTAATAAATGTGGAAACAGTACAAATATCTACTAATTATCCATTGATTGTTTATTAATTATCTATTACAATGTACAAGATATGCGATGATAAAATTAATGTCTTAATTAACGATAAATTTCACGTGATAAACAATTTTGTCACATTTTGTACGATCATTCATTTTTCACGGAATTGTCGACGGATATAGAGACAGGAAGAATCGCAACGATTAGGTTAATTATCTCATGCTTGACGAAACACCGCGCAACGCGACACAATGTAACAGGCTAAATGTGCACGAATACACGCGCCCTATTTATGGCTAATTTTTACAAATCAGTAATTAAAGGATGTATTTATGTCAAAAAAGAATACACAGGAATCGCTGCAACTATATTTATGTTGTAAAATTGCATCTACGATATCAGTGATACCATTATATTCCCAGAATTTTTGATTATTAAGATATCTTTCTTTATCCTGATTTTAGCTTGATTATTTATTTATTTATTTATTTATTCTTAATGTATCTCATTAAAACAAAATGAAAAATTTATAATAAAAGAAAAACAGAAAACTTATTGCATAAAAATAATATATATGTAATTAAGCAATTCAAGTATTGATATTTATTATATTATTTTAACGATACCAAAAAATGTCTCCCTCTTTCTCTCTCAGCTCTCTCTCTATCAACAAAAATTTATGCATTTAAAAGCAAATTCATTCGAGATATAAATGTATAAAATAATGTACTAAACGCTGTCAAACTTTATTTAATTTTTTATTAACGCTGTCATCTTATCCCTCGCGTAGATCGTAAAAAGCAAACTTCTTTGTACGAGCTAAAAGCGAGAGAGAAGTGGAGTTTTCCAACGTGCTAGTTCGCGAGCTAGTTCGTTGATCGGAACAGTAGTGTTAGAAACTTTGTTAATTCCAAAACTTTGTAATTAATCCACTGACAGGCTATTGTTGAGATGTATTAGTGTGAAAAATATGCTAAAACATGATGGCGGATATTCTGATGATATGAATTGACAATCAAGATGGGTGCAGGTAATATATTTGCAAAACGGTAAAATGATAAATTTTGAGGTAATTATGCGGAAGCTAACGGCGAGCACCGCACACGGTTATACTCGGTTGCAAGTGTGTCTCGCGCAATTATTTGACAAATCTTACAGTATATGACCACATGACATACGCAGTCACGTTAATATACATTGTCTCATTCGCACACGGTCAGATATTTGTACACTCGACAAGCATCTGTCGAGTGAATACATTATTTGGAACTGTTGTAACGGTTAGGTAACGCAAACTCGGTATGGAGACGAGTCAAGTGGACAAATTACTTGCTGCAAGTTACCTGTCGCGTGCAAAACATCTGCCCACCTAAAATTAACGACGGGCCAAGTAGGGTTGTGAGCCAAACAAAATAGATAGGTCTTCATTTGCACGATGAATAGAAAAGTCTTCTAT